TCGTTTTATTGTTCAAGCTGTGAAATGGCTCCTAAACTCAGCTCTTGGCGCTTAAACGTTTATTTGAGCAGAATCTTAGTGACCGACAACGATCCGAACACGTTTACATCATGTAATTGAAGATTCTGGGCTATAGTTCTGGTACGCCCTGAAATTTTTTATTTGGCAAATGAAACTTGCATTTGCTCTTTGTCATTGTGGCGAAGTTTGACCGCATCGCCCATTTCTAAATCCCATTTAACAAGGAGTCTTCCTCGACTCCCCAGTACTTGAAGGCTTATAGCTTTATAGTTTCGCATCGATGCTTAAGGGGGACGCTGCAGGAGCAAACTGAGAATGTTGCTGTCGTAAGAACATAGTCTGCTGGTGACCTTGCTGATGCAGAGAGTTCAATTAAGCTCATGACGAGACAAGCTCTCGCTGCAAGAATTTTCGATTACAGAATGTTGCTGGCCCCAATTCCTAGGGATACAATTATCAGATAGCTTCTACGCCAACAGTAAAACTCATTCGTTCAATCTCACTCCATTCAACATCACTCAACTTTAAGTAACATTCGAAATGCTTTGAAAGATGTAGTCGCCTTTATCGTCGATCATTTTTACATTAAACGGGTTTTAAGGGGCCTTGGCCGGACTAGAAAATCTAATAGGCGTAACGAAGAAATTGGATCAATACAGTGGACAACCAGTAGTTACTATCACCGGCAGCAGCGTGAGTGGTTCCTTGCTACCTTTGAGTCTTATGCAGATACAGGGAAAGCAACTAGAAAATGACTAGTTGCTGGTAAAAGTAAAATTGTATAAAGTAAAATTAAGTCCTTCCAAAAAAATATGCTAATTTTTTGCTCATCACTCATTTCCCACGTCCATCATTAATTAGACTGCTAGAATTGGCTGATTAAAAAATCCATATCAGCCAATCGGGTAGTGTTTCTGAACATTACTGTTCGTGGTACTGTTCACAAACATTGTTAACCTTTATTACAATATTTGAATTATTAAGTATCAAGGTTAAATCCATTTAACAGGATAACCTCGCTACACACATCGAACGACATATAAGGTACGTCTGGGCTTGTTCATAAGAAGAGTGTGATAGGTTCGCGCATTAGTTTTCTTCTTGACGGGATCTAAATTGTATATGTAATATACAATCACATTTATTATTGCTGTTAAATGATGTAATTTAATAACCCAGTCATCCATTGATGACAGATTGATGTTACATTCATCAATATATTGTGGACTGAAGATTTCATATGCAAATTTGTTCAAGCTTAATATGAGGAAGCTAACTGAGGTTTTTGTTAGATAAAAATAAAAAATCAAAGTTCAGATCCCCTTTTAATAACTTGTTGCAACATGTCTACGTTAGACGTCGGCAGATCAAAGAAAGTTAGAACCATCTTGTGACATAAACTCAAGAGCACCTTGTGCGATCGATTCCATATAATTTGATTTAGTCACTGAACCAGGATTAGAAGATCTACGAGCGTTAAGACTCGTATAGTTTTTGTTGACTAGTTTTTGTACAAACTGGAGACTTTTAAAATTAACAGGCCTTAAATTCCGTAAAAAAAAGTGACTTCTGTAGTCATAAATCTTTTTATAATTAATAGCTGTGTATCTCCACTACAGTAAGAGATACAAACAGGCTCACACAGAGACTGAACAGAGATTTTGAGATGTATGACATTTAGCTTGCGCGCGATCAAGAATCGTTTCATCCTTCGGATTCACAATAAAAACCTGCTTCCACTCATTGCACACGCTTGTAATTTCATGGCATTACTAAATGATGTGATGGCCTTTCTTTAATAATATTTGGTTGTCTTTTGTAGAATCTGTGAAGAAAGAGTCGCCAACTACAACAAAATATCGCCTGCGAACCTATCTTTCCAGGACTATAAAAACATGTAGTGTAAAACAATATAATAGATTTTCGCCTTACACCAAAAAAATGTTCACGGGGCACACTTCAGTACATCACCCCCACCCAATATCGGTCACATTATTGAATAATTGACGATTGAGTGGCTTTATTGCATTGACAAGAAAGGAAAGCACTTGTTTGTCTGAACCAGAACGACATTTTTCTACTAACGTTTGTTTGTGATACATAATTTCTTGGTAGAATGAACCCCCAAAAATGCTCCCTCGACAGGGCCCTACACATTCCCTTCCGGGTCGCCACTTTTTTACTAGATTTTCTGAGGTTCCGCCACTCCATGGCCCCCACCCGTTCGATGTGGTGGATACTTGCTTCTACGTGAGGCCGAGCTCAGCGGGACTGGAATTCCTGGTGGCACCACTGAGAGTAATGTGTCATACATTTTTTATAGAAAATTAATTTTATCATACAGGTATCGAGCCAAACATCTACTAATTAGAACAGAGGTGCTAAATCAAGGCACTACGGGGAACTCTACTAAAGTTGCATGGTAACAGGCCCATGTGGTTCGCAATTTGAGCCTCTGAGTGCGCGACCGCTCGACTGTGTGCAACTGCCAATGACGCAAGTCACCTTACCAGCATGAGAATGCTCGCTTGCTACGGATTTACATGTAAATGCATTACGTGAATCTAAAGCGACGACGAGAGCGTCACGAGATGTTCAGGTCGTCAGAGTGTAACATACCACGTTTTAGTTCGAGTTGATCGTTTTACAAGAAGTTGATCTGCGTAGCCATAGCAAAAGCTCAGGACATAGCACTGATAAAGACGTAGAAGCACTGTTGCGGGTACATAAGTGAAGCAATCACGAACAACGCAACGAATGTAGTGAAAATGTTACACTTGAAACCACTCAATAGTAGACAATCGTGAAGCTATCCGTTTGGCTACTAATCATAAGGCCCACCTCCTACTCCTAAGTTCTGACATGCTTGTCAAAACTGCGGGCTATCTTTGTGGTAAAAACCCATTTTATTTGTCACGGCTTTACGGCCTTGACACAAGTCGACACGTTTCACACTGACAACTCTTATTCTATCTACGTATCCTGCAAACATCGATGATTTAGCGGGAATCACAAGCGTGATAGCATTTTGCTGTTTGCGACATGAAAAGCGTTCACTTCCAATGTTGAAGGTTTAAGGTGCGATTCCTGGCGCAATTTTTGTGCGTGGCTCACAGTTGCCTAATAATTAAATGGAAACCGGTGCACAATTCAAGATGCATGAATTGTTATAAGAAGCTAGCCTGTCTGAGTATATTTATATTCATATTGTATTAATAACTTGTCTTGAGCACGCATGGGAGCTTCTTTCGCGGACGTACCCTGGCGGAGAGACTGTCTATGTTTCGCAATGTTTAAAGTTAACTCTAATGCGTAATATCTCTATGATGAGCTGTGCGTTTTTGTCTGATGAGATTTTGGCCGCGTCATACTGCTGGACAATTGTGAATACAGCCATTCTGTAACGAGGCACCCTTTGTTTGGGGTGCCTCGAAACTCCACGTACACTTGTACGCGCAGAGGAAGCTAATCTACTTGAACGACTCGGTCAAGTAAAGGTAAAAAGAGAACTGTATTTTCTATAGTTAAGCTATCAATATAACTCTAAATTTTATCTAACTAAATTAAACTACGCCGTCGTATGACGACAACCTGCTCACCACTCATTGCGCGCGTCACGCAGCGATTGGTGGCAATCCAAGGCTGATATGTCTTATGACAACCAATCTTGCAGCAGCAATTGAATATTATTCAAAAGGGGACAATATTCCTTCGACAATATACACCTCGGATAACATTGGTAAAATATTGTCATGCTAGACAATATCCCTGTCTAGCACCGTTTGGTGTCAATGTCATGTAACGGCCTACCCCGTTACATCACCCCCAATGAATCATCATTCATCTGTTGATAGGATCGAATTGATCGGAATAGGGTGACCACCATTGGATCACTCTGAGAAAGGGAGCACTTGTTACTAAAATTTTATTCATTTCCCATCCAACGCATGGTTTCGAAAACCACGCGAGCAGCTACTGCAGCAGCAAGAAATGCGGTTGCACGCATGCATGTAGCCGAAGAAAGTTCTTTTTATATTGCGAAGCAGGTAATTTGTCGCCTGATGCTGTGAACAGTCCACGTGATGAGTCACCACGTGCGACAGATACATCCGCTGCGTCTGCAGCGGGTACCGCGAATCGTAATCCAGATGAGCCTGAAACTGAGCGTATCTATTCTGGTGAGTCGGATGACGTATCCGACTCCAAGGCGACACCTCACGTTTCCGGATTACCCGGGGTGGACACTGCAAATCCAGGTTGACTGGCTTTGGTCAACGTGGCGGCATCATGTCTGAGATCTTCGGATCGAGTGATTATTTCGACGAATCTCCGCCTCACGCAAGTCCATCCAACGATAGGACTCGTAGGGATGGTAGTGATGCACCTTAACATCACCACGAGCGAAGCAACCCAAGGGATCGGGGTGTCACTGGTGTCAGCGCACATGCTGGCACTAATCAGAGGCCAGGGACCGAAATGTCCTGCGCCACGCTCCTCAAGTGGAGTCTCCGTGGATGTCGTCATCCAGAGAGTTGGAACGGTTGGCTGGCGTGACTACCGAACGGAATCGAATCCCGTTGTTCGATTGTAGAAAGATTTGCCCACCTGATTCCAGCACGAATAATATAGGTGCTGAGGAAGAGTTCTTCACCGATGCGCTTTTCAAACATCTGTGGTACAATGGCAGCCGTGTTCGAGACGGTAAAGCCGTGTTGCAAGGATGGAATGCCCTCATCCATAACATCGAGTGCATTGGCCGTGAGGCCTGGCTTGCCAAACTTGATGCAGCTCGCATCAGGTTTGATAGACGCAGCCTAGTCGAGGCGCCATACAAGTTGCACCGGCTTTCAAGAAAGGCAGAGTTACCCTGTCTATCGTGGGGTGATTCGTTTCCTGGTTGCCTGGACAGCTTGAACCGTGCCCTAAAGGAATTCTACCTACCGAATGATCCCTACTTGAGGGCGCAAATCTCTTCCGGGATGGCCGAAGGGATTAAAACTTTGCAATCTCTGTACTCGCGCTCGCGGAGGTCGTTTTCCGACGGCCCTTCTTCGAACGAAGCGAGTGGATCTCGTCGTACTGCTCGACGAGACCGAGGACATCAGCAATCAGCTGGACACGAGGCTCCCAGCTGTCCCATGCCGGTGGATAGCCACGCCAGCGGACGAGTTAACTCGTCCGGACGCAATTCACATCTCAATGGTTCAAAATACGCTCAACCAGAAAGCGTTGACAACTGCCAGAATCCACTAAAGGATGTGGTGGTGGTGGGAACACCTAATCCGGCTCGAGGGTCGGATCATATTGATGTGCAGGAGCTGAATCGTGTAACCGATCAGTTACACGATGACCTGGCTCATGAACGGACTCGGCGTTATGAGCGCCATGATCTGGTAAAGGACGATTACAAATCCTTAGCGCACGATCGTTCGGATCATCGTGCCGCGTTTGCGTTTGCACAGCTTGAGAGAAAGATCTATAGCGAAGGCAATTATCTGGGTTATCGCTTCGCTAGTCAACCAGACTGGCTCGTTGAAACGGTACTACTCGAAGGTGGTGTCGGCTCTCGACCGCGGAGGTGTTATTCGCATCTCGAAACGGGCTTGTACTGATAGTGCGAGCGGAGACGACCAACGTAAAACATAGGATGCGTACGCATCTTACGGGGCAGTTCAATCGTGTATGCGTTGCCCATTCGGCGCAACACACGAAATGGACCAATATACTTGGGTAGTAATTTACTGCTGACCACGTTTGTCACTGCGTGTTTCGGTAGATTTACTGTAGACAGTAAAACTAAGTCTCCTGCATCAAATGAAAGAACATTTGCTCTTCCATGTTTGTCTGTGTTTCTTTTCTGCTTGTCAATCTCATCAGCAATAGAGTCTTAAACAAAGCGGACAAACGCTTCGCGAGTCAGCAGAAATTCCTCTGCTGATTTACTTTTATCCGCAGGAGTGCGCTTCGTGTGCACTGCTGGAAGGACGTCTTCTTCACCAGTGAGGGTGTCATCGTCGTCACTTTGGCAGTCATTGGCGATGCTGAATGTACCAGCATCATCTTCATCATCGATATCGATCGCGTCGACATCGGCATCCATTAAGTTGACACCATTGTCGACGTGTGATGAGTAAGAACCAGTTCGGGTTTTGTTCGAGCGAGTCCACCCCCCCTTAAACTAGAGTCACGGTTTAAAAAGGCGGGTAAACGGGGATGGCGTAGGCCATTCACAAAGAACAGTGTATGCGTTGTCGACGCGTGCACCGAGTGGTTAATGGCGTATTTTGCCATCGGCAAGAACTCACTCCAGCTCGTAAACGAGTGGACAGACCCTCGAAGTGTCTCTTCGAGGACGCGGTTGACGCGTTCCGTCTGACCATCTGTTTCTGGATGGTCAGAAGTTGACATCGTCAAACGTGTTCCAAGTGAACGAAACACGGATGCCAGAACTCCGCTGTGAAGCGGGGTCCCTATCAGACACGAGTTCACGGAGTAACTTGTGAAGTCGGAGGATAGTATTGATGAATACACGAGCACACCCCTGGGATATGATTGACTCCGGTACAGCAACAAGATGTACCATCTTGCTGAGCCGATCAACAAACACGAGAATACCATAATTCTTGTGGGCATATATGAATAACCCAAAGACGAAGTCCATCGACACGGACTGCCATCACTCTGCCGGAATCGAAAGAGGTTGCAAGGGTGCGCGGGATGAAGGACTAGGCTTCACCCGTTGACAAACTTCGCAAGCGCGAATGTATTTGCGCACAAACTCATACTGGCGGGGCCAGTAGAAGTTACAAATCTATGTAAGGAAAGTCTTTTTCCTACCGCGATGCCCACTTGATGGGGCAGCGTGACACTCATACATGATGCGCAATCGAAAATCATTATCAGTGAGAACGACGACACGAGGTGTCGCAGTTGACTGCTGTATAGTACAGCAGTCCATCACGAACCGAATACTGTTCGGTTGAAGAGCGGTACTGAGACGACAGGATTTTCAAAGCTTGATTGCATGGATTGGATACATAACCCATCAACCGCAAAAGAGACTCATCTTCTGAGTACGCTTTTCGCACGTCGTCAAGCAGATTCGACGAGGGAACACTCACTTTAGTGTTGCTACAGTGGGACCACCCCTACTGTTGTGTTGAGCAGTCGGCTCGAAATCGGGCCGACGTGAAAGAGCATCAGCGACGACATTAGGTCGTCCTGGTTTATACTCGACGTAGAAGTTGTACTCCGCGAAGAAAGACAGCCACATCGCCCTTCGTTGCGAGAGGTGTGGGCTGTTTACGGCCGTGCGTAGTGACGCATGGTCGGTATGAACGATAAAGGGCCTATCTCCTAAGCGATATAACCGAAATTGAGCCAGTGCATATTGCATGCGAGGATTTCCTTGTCATGCACGGTATAATTTCTCTCAGCTGTTTACAGATGACGCGATTGATAAAAGACGACGCGCTCTGCGCCGTCTGAGTCGTACTGCATTAACGCGCAGTCGATTGCAAAACCGCTGGCATCACAGACCACATGAAATGGTCTGTTTTGATATGCAATCACCAACTCAGGCGATTGTATCAAGCTTTTCATGATACCTTCAAAGAACTGCTGACACTCAGCACTCCATGACCAGCTCTCGTTTTTCTTTAGCAAATGAGAGAGATGTACAGTCATCTCGGCGTAATTGCGCGAGTACTTGTGTAAGTACGCCGCTAGGCTAAGGAATTTCGATGTCCTTTGACGTCGACTAACACAGTCCAGTCGCTAGTGGCCTTGATCTTTTCCGGGTCAGGGCGTACACCATTCTAACTCACGATGCAGACAAGAAGTGTTAAACCTTTCGCTGCGAATATACATTCTTGAGGTTCGCGAACAAATCATGCTCTCGCTTAAGTGTAAGAACCGTCCAAACGCTGATTATGTGAACCTCCACATCCGTCTTTCCAACCATAGCCTGGCTACGGACGAAGACGTCATCAAAGTAACTTGGTGTGAAATCGAGCCCCTATCGCAACAGGTTCGTAACACATCTCTCGAACGTTGCGAGGGAGTTACTTAGCTCCTGTGTAATCACATGCCACTACCGGAGCATACCGCTGGGGGTGCTCATTGCTGTGCACGAGATATCCCGTTCACGCATGAGGATCTGATAGAATCTATCCGCAGATCCATGGACGAGACGATGGTACTCTTTGCCATACCACCAATGATGACGTCCTTCCTCAGTATCGACGTTTGAGCCGGTACCGTTGCAGCGTTCAATTTTTTTTGAACGCGTGCACTATCCGCCACCCTCCTGTGGCCTTTCGCACGCAGAAGGTCGGAGAGCTGTGTGGGGATGTTGATTCCCTCACATGACCATCCGCTAATCGATCGGCAAAGAATTTATCGATCGATGTTACCTGTCCACGAGGCAGTGGCCACTGCTTCATGACACAGTACTTCGAACTGGGTTTCAGTTCATTTTCATGCCGAGGGCCTTTGTCCTTAGGCACCCCGCATGGCACGAATTTTGGGACAACATCCATAAATTCAACTAAATTCTTATACAAAGGATTTGTCTTTTAAGTCTCCCAAGACTGAGACGTGTATCGCTCAATCCGAGTCTTCTCATCGAGGACACTCTCGTCCATCGATGAGCTACTGATAACCCGTTCGTTCTCAGCAAAAACACTTGTGCCGACCGAATATCGGCGACGTACTTGTCCTCTGTGACAAGTACGCAGATCTGCTTGATCTTGTCACTTTGCAGATCCCGCAAGAATTTTGTAGATTCTAGCGTTGGCAACTTGACTACCTCCGAAGCTGACTTTGGAGGAGTAACCAGATCAAGTGTATACGCGCCTACACTTGATCCGTCACTCACTAAGACATTCAATGTCTCGGCGCTTTTGGGAAAACACATCCGCAGGTGTTTATGGATCCACACCATCGACATCACTCTCTCGGGAGTTATCACTCTCAGGAACGACGTAATTTTCTTTCGTTACGTGTACTATCACGGTCGCGTCCTCTTCGGTCGACTCTCTTTCAGTCCATCGGGCTCTCTCTACGATCGATTCTCTGATCGTCGATCTTGCTCCAATGCGTTGTCCAACCTGAACAACACTAGTCTCTCTTCTCGGATGCACCCTTCTTGGTGTGCATCCGTGTTCCAGTCCACTCGATCTTTTCGAGTGGTTAACCTTCGGCACAGCCTGTGTCTCTACACAGGTGCCGGAAGCTGGTTCCATAGTGTAGTGGCCTTCTACACTTTGATCTTGTGCAATCGTACTAACGACCGTACCACAAGTGAGGCCATCGCACTCACTCGTATTACATTCACACGCCCGCTTGTGGACGCTCCAAGACGTTCATCAGATGGCCATCCGATGAACAAAGGGCCGGCAACTTCACGGATCGATGCTGCCAGCTGACCCATGGCTGTTTTTTTCGAAGCCATGGCAGACCAAGGATGACATGAACTTTTTCATCCAAATAAAGTACAATAGAGTCATCGTCGTACTGCTTTCCTTCTATCGTGTAGTGGATTCCCACTGCACGTTTGTTCACTGTTACAGATGCGCCTGTAGCAAGGCACACCGTCATCCTCGTTAAAGGGAACTCTCGCTCAACATAGTTGAGACTACTATCCCTTAGCGACTGGCGTTAAATAAAACTGTTCGACGCCCCAAAGTCAACTAGGGCGCGAAGTGACATTCCACTTGTCACTTCGATCTTCGAAGTGATGAGAGACTCCTCATCACTAGGGGCAGTAACACAGCGGCTGTGTGTTAGGAGCAATCTTCGTCAAGAGTCCTGCAAATTCTCTTGACGTTGCTGAACCAGCAGGGTGCTCCGCCCCTACTGCCCCTGACCGTTTTTTTACGGTCAGACTTGCTGTAGCTGTTTAGCGACATGGTCGGACCCACGCCTCGGACCCTTCCTTGGCCAACGGCGGTCATCATGTCCTGTTTTCGGACGTGTTGCAGTGCTCGGGACACTACACTCATGAGCGTAGTGTCCAATCTTCTGACAGCGATGTCATCTTGCCGTTCGTTTGATACTCAGAGAGCGAGAGTTCTCGCTCTCGATGTAACAGAGGTCCAATGTTTCGGGAACTTCTGTTTCCTGTCGTCTCGTCGGACGATAGTTTGACTAAGTAGCCTGAGACTGTCTCAGACTGAAGTCTTCATGTTCCGCATACGCTTTCGCCCTTTCCAGCGTATGGAAGTCCTTTCGGAACATGTAGGTCTTCACCGGCCCATCCACAACGCCGTATATGAACACGTTGACGAGCGTGTGCTCATCAACAGGGTTCTCCGTAACGCTACTAGCAAGGTAGCGCAGGTGCTGTGCGTAAGCGTGCACGTCACGCTTACCTTGCTTTAGCCTCAAGAGTGCAGAGCGTGCTCTGAACCCGTCTCTCGTCGGCTCAAACGTCTATTTAAGCCGAAACTTTAAGATCTCTAACGACGCAAACACGTTTGGGCCGTGAAGCTTGAGCCCTAAGGCCCAAGTCTTTGCTCGTCCCGTCACATTTGACAGGGCGAACGTGACTTGCATCTAGTCACCCTCGATGTGACGGGCCCTGATGGCGTCGTCTAACTCGACGAACCAT